CCAAGGACTTCTGTGCTCAACTTGGCTGTCTTGGGGCATCTCCTCCTATCCTAGGCCACCTTTGACTTCCTGCCTCTTTCTCCTTCCTCTTAACATACTTCATCCTTCCACCCTCTGCCTTTTCTACCAACGTCCTCCTCTTAAAGTGTTCTTCTCACCACCATCCACAAACATTTCCACCTCCCCTAATCCATAGCACATTGCTCATGCTGTTTTGGGTGACACAAGCTCCAGGTGGCTCTTCTGCATCTCCTCTGGCCATTATTCTGGGTGCAGAGCTCACAGTCAGGCAGAGTTAAGAAAGTCACCTTTCTCTCTGGCTCCTCTAGGAGCTTTATGCTGTCTCTTCCAGGGTAGGGTAGGTAACATCCCAGCAAGTTCTGCTGAGCCACTGCACAAATATCTGTGAGACTAAGGATTCAGAATAATCTTCTAGAACCTAAAGCCATACAGCTATAAAGCAATCATCATTTTAGAGATATTCCATGTTTGGACTTTCACAGTTTAAGTTTTAAAATGGTCGCTCTTTGGTTGTTCTCCATTCCCTTACAGTTCACAGTAAAGGCAATAATTTAAATCATCAGTGCTGCTGTGGTCAAGCTCATAAAACCCAGAACCCCGAGGTGAAAAGCCAGCACTTTCTGCACCACTTCATTAGTTCACACTTGGGTGAGCCAGGTTTATTTGCACCCCATAGACCAGAATGCCCCTGTGCTGGACTCTCTGTTAGAAACTCCTTTATCCCCTGGAGCCAGAAAGAAGTGCTGGCAGCCCTGGTTCTACCTAAGCCACAGGCATTCCTGAGGGAAAGCCTGAGGACTCGTCTTAGCAGCCCTGAGTCCTGTACAACCACAAAGACTAGACAAATGTGAGAACTAGTTTGGAAGGGTATGCGAATATACACTAGTTCTTGAACTCTGATCTCCAGAAGTTTAGTTTCTTCTTTTATTTGTAAAACAGATAGAAGGCCCTCTTTTTCTCAGCATCTTCCTTTGCTCAGCATAGAGGCTGACATGAGGCCAAGATCTATGCCATACCTATAGGGGCATAGCCAACAAGAGCAAGTCTGAGGTCATTAAGTCACATTATCAGGGTCAGGAATGTAGTCTTCCACCAATAAAGTGTGTTCATCCAGTTTTTCTTAATATTCTTCTGGAAGATGTATACCTGTTAACAGGAAAATTAGACCATTTTATTTTGTAGGTGGTATTCAACATTGGCTTTTTGTAAACATATACACTTAAGAGTTCCAAATATTTCTCTCTTTCTGAAATTGCTCCCTAAGGTCCATATTTATATTTCCAGATGCCCTTTACACCCTCTCTTTAGACCTGCAGGCATTTCTCACATTAAACAGGCCTCTACCCCTGAATCTGCTCTATTGCCTGCATTCTTAATTTCAGCTAATAATTTCTTGTTTGAATTAGAATTGGTTTTTAATTGCTAGATATATTTTACACTATGACTCACTCTGCACATGCACACACATAGATATAACTTGAACAGAAGTTTTAAAAATATGTATCTTTATTTTATCTGTCACCCTCTGGTATCTTATCTGTGTCTCATCTTTTGAAAAAAGGCTTATGTATCCCCTTATTCCTTTATTGGTTTACCTCTTTCTTTGGCTAAAAGGTATCCTGTGCTCATGGGACTTGGATTCTGCTTTGAGATGCTCCTATCAACTCTCTAGATGAAGTTGACAGTCTTCAATGACTTGCTGTTTGATAAAAGCTGAAACAGAGATCAAATGCAGCCTCTTTGAGCTCAGTATTTGACCTAAAATGATAACCCAGCCTGCAGTCCATTCATTCATTCATTTACTCAGCCACCCAACATTTACTAAGTGTGTATTCTAGTGTGAGGCACATGGTGGGGTACTCAGTATCCAAATATGAACATCATGGTCTCTTCCCTGAGGTCGGTAATAGAGACGAGTAGTCTAACAATTACAAAGATTAGGTCCTATAAGTGGAAGTCTGCACAAAGCACTCTGGGATCACAAAAAAAGTGAGTCATGACACGGACCAGAGAATACAGAAGTTCTCTCAAGTATGAGTGCAGCTGGCCAAGTCAGAGGCAGGGCTTTTGGGAAGAGGAATCATCACTGGGAGAAGGCCTGGGGCATGGGCAGCCTGATAATTGGGGGAACTGAAATTATGTCAGTTCTAACTAGAATAATCTGCTCTCACTGCTGCCCCTTCTGTACTTGGTTACTCAGTGCTCACTCTCTTACTAAACTGTCCTCTGCCACACAGGCTTTCTCCCTGTTCCCAAAGACACTCAAACAACACAGCCACCTCTGGGCTCTCGCTTCACTGTCACACACCTCCAAGAGAGCTCTTGTTCTATCAGAGGCAGCTCATCACATCACTGCTCCTGGTCATCTGCTACACTGGGTCAGGATCACCTCAAAAAGGGCCCCAAGTCCCATCCTCATATCTTCTGTGAGGGACAGGAAGGTGCACAATCATTATGCCCAGACTTAAGGTGAAACTGCTTGAATAGATATGTAGAAGACTTCTCAGCACATCATAGCACATCCTTTGAAGACTTCTAGGGACATCATATGTTATAAGCACACTTGTTTACAGATGTCATAACCACATTTTAAATATTGATGGCACAGATGCAATTTTCTTTATTACTGTTTTATTCACAAAAGATTATTTTTTTACTTTTAGATAATACGCTTTTTCCTTCCCAATAGTGGAATTTATTAACAGTTAATACAAATTAAAATCTTGTACCTGAGACAACAATACATACCCACTTTCCCTAGTGTTTTGGTAAACCATCATTGCCAACCATTCATTTAATCCAAACTGCCCTTTCCAAAAAGGCTTTTACAGAAAGCAAAATTAATTTTTAATTCTTCTTCTTTTCCTTTGCTAACCTTCTGCCCACTTTGCTTTTCCTGTGTAAATGCTCCAGAATTATTGGCAGGAGAAGCAATTGGGTCTGGAATCTCAATAGCCCAATCTGTAACTGAAAAAAAATAAAAGGTCTGTGTATTTCTGTCTCCTGGTAATTTTTATGGACAACCATACTATCTGATAGCTACTTTGACAGAACAACTGGATGTGGATGAGGATGACATCTAGCGAATAGTTTTGCTAACACAAGTACTGGAGAAACAGGGCCAGCCAGGTAACAATCATAGTTCATTAGGAACAAGAGAGCAGCATTCATGTGCTGGCTGCACTTTTCATTGTTTATCAAATTTCAGAAGGTCTATTTCATGTGATGGATTGGCTGCATTTGAGTTACAATTTTAGTTGAAAATTTCCTCCCTTTAGTAAAGTTTAGTGTGATGAACCCCTTTGTCCTTTATACAATACTTAGTGTGAGAGCAAAGAGAAACCCCCCAAATAAGCTGCAAGCCCTGTCTGCAAGCTTGATTGTCTCCTTCTCTTGAAAGGGTGGTTGGGGTTATTGAAAAGAAAGGGAAAATGCCTTTTACAGAAACACTTATCACAATTGTTTATGTCGGGCAGACAGTGCCTTTGTCTCTTTTCCTGTCTTACAAACTCTTCCTTCCCCCTGCCTTGCCCCTCCCCACCCTGTCCATCAATTATGAGACTTTGTGTAGATCTCCCTATTAATGTTAGCATTAATTAGTGTTTATAAAATTAACCAATTTTTTATTTCAAAGAAGAATTGTATTATCGTGTGTGCAATTCAGTGTGTCAGTGAAGAATGCAAATACACGTAAATGCCCTTGACTTCTGCTCACTGTGTGTGCCAAAGTTCACTGATTGCCTAGTAATGACTGCTAATCCTCAGAGGTAAAGAGAATATACCTCATTTCCTCCCATAATATTTCCCCTTCCTCCTCCTCCCTTGCCATTCTCCAGCTTTATTTATCTCTTGCCCTTTCCAATGTTTTCCCATCAGAGCTTGAATGACAGAATCCAGCATTGACTCTCTTAAGTGGAGAGTCACTGTGGGGAAAGTGGGAAGTGGACATTCTGCATTCTCCCACAAAGCCGCTGCTTCCCTGACCTGACCGTTTTCTACGGATACTTTGAATAATATCTAATACTTACAAAGTGCCCACTGTGTACCTGATGGTATTTGCCACACAGATGAGTCAGGTGCTGTTATCACCCCTGTCCCCTGCCCAGTTTGCATATGAGGAAATTGAAGCTCAGTGAGATTCTTTCTTGCCTCAGTTTACATGGTTAGACAATAGGGGAGCAAGGATTTGAACTCCAGGTGTTTGTCTTCAGCATCTGTGCTCCTAACCCTTAAAATTCACTGTTCTCAATCAACGGTTCACCATGATCATGGAGAATGAGCGCAAGGAAAAGTGGCACTGAAGATTCAGATTGAGTGTGCCTAGTTATGGTGACCTGGAATTGCTCTTGGATTCCTTTTGCCAGGTCTAACATTGTGGTGATAGGAATGTAGATGGGGAAAGAAAGTGGAAGTCATAATAGTAAAAGGAGAAAGTGTATGAAGAATAATATGTTGGCAAGAGGAAACCTTAAATCATATAGTTTAACTTTTTAACTGTAATGAGAGAATTTGAGCATGCTAAGCTGTCACTCTTGCATCTTTGAAACGTTATGATATGCAGACAAAAATGAATGGAAGAAATGACAAAGTTCTCAAAACTGATAAATGATGAGACATGATACTGGAGTGAAGGCAAAAAGCTCATGAAAGAATCACGAGGGATACAGATGTACTTTATTCAGGTCCATGTTGATGACATCTTATCGTTTGATTCCTTGGCGTACTTATTATGTTTGGGTTGATAAAATATAACAGATTTACTTGTCTTGTCACGTTCAGCTGCATTTGTCAGAACACAGAGAGTCATCTTGGGTGGCTCTTTAGCTGGATTTGTTTTTACAGAAATAAAATCCCTGGCACACGATAATGGAAAAAAAATCCAGTTTCATAATATGCAGTGTACTGTTTTTCTACACTTGAGAATTTTGAGTGCTTTGGAAATAATAATTCTGTTTTCACAATTTCCTGCTCTCCACTAGGTTCTTGGAACACCAAATGAGGACACATGGCCTGGAGTCCATTCTTTACCACATTTTAAGCCAGGTATGTTTCATTAATCACAAATACTAAATACTTCCTATTGCAAAGGGTGAATGTATAAATGTTCACTCTCAAGTAATGTATTGCCTTGAAAATGTCTGGTTACTTTTTCCTGCATGAATTTTAAGCACTAATGAAGTTTCCTTTTGATTTCACAAGTATTTGTACAAATAGGGACAAAAACGAGAGACTTTCACCATGTGAACTCTGGGTTGACCGCATGGTCTTGTGGTCATTTCATTATCGATTCAACCAGCATCCATGTCTATAAAAACAAAATTCAAATTGGAGCTCTACAACTCAGTTGCGTCACTTCTTTTAATAATGCTGGGAAAAGTATTGAATTGTAAAAAGGAAACATCACAATTTGATTTATTTTTACAAAACTAGTAATATATGGTCAATTAATTTTATTTAAATATATAAAATGTTCTGGGTGCCCCGCTCTATAGAATTTGGTACATTTGAATGCAAAATATGTAAATCCCTAAATTTAGAAATCTGAAAGAGCAGAACTTTAAAAATAAGTTGTCACTTTTTCCATCACCAGTAGGTGGCAGTCATGAAACTTTCAGTTTTAATAATTACAGGAAAATCTCAGTCTGCTTAATTCTTGAGGGATGAAAGATTTGGAACTTGAAATTTAATAAAATCGGTAAAATTAATTATTATAAAGTGATTTTCTTCTTGTTGTTGTTGTTTTTTCTTTTCTCAAATACAAAACATGGTTTATGAAATGCAGACCTCCCATAAAATTACTGAAAGAGATTTTATGGAAGATCTAATAGTCCATTATCCTATTACAGAAAAGACTTATGAATAATTTGTTAGGGAAGCCAAGTATATTCTTCTGCTGCTCTTCCCCTCTTTTGGGGACTATCAGGAATAAATTATCAATTCTAAAGAACGACTGAGATGGGAAACTATTTTTATTCTTAATATTTTTTCTTCTGAAAGTGTACAGTGTGCTGAGAATTCTTTTATCTTCTTCAGCAGCCCCAAAGACTCTTTGTACTTATTCTGAAACTCTTAAATGACTTCTATGTTCTGAAAGACTCTAACAACTTAACAATTTAATATGGATTTTTTTTTATTTCTTATTTTTTGTAACCAAGAAAGAAGGATCCTCAAACAGATCTGCTTGTTCCTAGTGGGTTCTAAGTGAAGAACATAGCTTTTCATAAATGTTCCAATTGCAGGCTCTTAGAGAAGGTTTGATTCTCATTAGGATTTAAAATTTTGTCCTAGGGAAATAAGATAGAAGAATTTGAGGGGCTGGTCTATAGCTCAGTGGTAGAGCACTTGTCCAGTCCTGAGTGAAATTCCCAGCACTGCAAAAAAACAGTAAAAATAAAACTTAAAAACATTTTAAATGAATAAAGTTAAATGCAGAAAGGAAAAAACAACAACAACAACAACAACATGATAGTCATTTGGCCTGCCAAGTGTTTAGACGAAAAAGCTGAAGTAATTTGTCTATTGTGGTGTGAATAGAAGTTAATCTCCGTCAATAGCATACACGAGCATTTATTAAATATATTCTGGAAAGTTCTGTGTGATGTAGTGTAAATTAAGCTAACAGATTGTGAACCTCATGAGACCAGGGACTATTCATAGTACATATTTGGCATCAAAAAATAATTGTTTCTCTGAATTATACTGAATGTTTAAACAGACATTATGTATGTGACTCCTTTGGTCAATATATATAAATTGGAATACACATGTTTAGAGTTATATGTAAGCCCTCACCAGACACAAAACACACACCAGGCAGTAGTCCAAGGGCACACACTTGAATGGCATAAGGCATGGGTGCCGCTGAGCTCATGCCACATTCCAAGCACAGCTTGACACAGAGTGCTAAGTGCTTCCTGAGTTGATTTGACAGGAGTCAGGTGGAAACCAGCTTACAAACAGGCAAAAGCAGCAGATCTATAATGATCTCCATGAAGCGCTAGACAGACCATCAGGAGAGACCTGGTCTTGACCTCACAGACTCCATACTCCAGGGAGGAGAAAATACACTTTCCTGAAGAAGAGTATCCGTGCTAAGACTTGCCTGTGCCTCCCCGCCCCACCTCCTCATTCTACCCCAAGAGAGCCTTAGAAAGTCTGAGAGGAATACAAAATCCAAGCCATGAAGATATACTTTATTTTATAATAGATAATAAATTTAAGCAGTTTGAGAAGTCGAACAATGTGAAAAGGAACATAAAGCAAAGCCTTTTCCTTCTCTGCTCTCCATCTGCCAGACCATCCCCAGCCCCCAGAATATTCATTTCCTATTTTTCTTTCCTTTATGTAAATATAGGAAATTATGAATATATAGGTATATATATGTATGTGTATTATATATGTATGTGTATATATAATATATATGTATATCTTATATATATATATATACATACACATACACATACATATTTTCCCATGTTAGTGCCTCTTGTAGGTCTTCTCATGTCACTGCATAGAGGAGGCTGGTGTGGTTTCCTTCTCTGTTGTGCAGATTTAACCTGTTTTCTAATTATGGTCATTTGGGTATTGCCATTGTTCTACTATTAGAAATTTTAATGCAGTTAAAAACTGTGGACGTTCACATATACATATACATTGCGTGTATGCAGGTGTATCTGGAAGGTGAGTTATGAGGAATAGGGTTAAAAAGCCAACAGGCATAAACTTACAACTTTAAACACTTCTGCCAAACTATTGTCCAAAGGAGCGATACCCCTTGCCTCTGTTACCAGAAAAATAGACGAGAATGCTGCTTCTCCACAGCATCTTCTCTGTCCTCTACAGTGTGCAGTCAAATGCAATTAAATGACCAAAAGTGTCTCAACCTCATTTTAGCTGTAGTGATGGGCTTGGCCTCTTGTCACATGCCTGAGGATCACTTGCATTTCCTTTCCTGGAAATTTTTTTTTTATCTTTTGCCCAATTAACAACTGCAAGTTTTGTGTCATTTTCTTATCAATTTCCAGGAGTTCCTAGAGAATTTCTTCCTTTATCTATGAAAAGTTTTTGCTTTTCAGAGATTAAACAAAATGTTCTTTTCTAATTTTTAAGCTTGCCATCCTCACTCTCATATCTTCCTTAACTTATTTAACCAAATAAATTTTGTCTCAAGAAAAAGAGCCCATAGTATTTGCAAAGGAGTTCAAATGTTATTTTTTTAAAACTAATCTTTATGATTCATTTCCATAAAATCATTTATTGATTCAACCATACTTATTGAATATCACTTGTATGTTTGGGTGCTGGGAATATTGCATTGAACAAAACACAAAAGATCCCTATCAGGAGAGAAACATGGTAGTGAAATTTATACTCTATTCAGTGACGGAGAGTACTATGGAAAATCAGAGCAAGAAACATACAGGGAAGTCCCAGGGAAGGGCTGACTTACAATTTTAAATAAGATAATCAAGGAAGGCCTCTCTGGAAAAGTGATATTTGACTGAAAGACCTGAGGGAGAGAGTCGTGAAGATGTTTAAGGAAAAGACTTTGCAGATAGAGAACAGCAAGTACAGATGCCCTGGAGTGGGAAGGAGACAGTTGCAAATGAAGCCACAGAGAGCAGGGGCTGGGAGCAGGTCACAGAAGCCTTGAAGGCTGCTCTGAGCCCTTCTGAGTGCTTCTGAGTGTTAGAAAGCTCTGGAAGATGGTGAACAAGGAGCAGCAGGGGGGGTACCCTGGCTGTTGCACTGAGAACTGGAGGCCATGGAGAAGCAGGAGAGTCAGGAGGCTGTGACTGGAGTCTAGGAGAGAAAGTGAATGCACCATGACTGAAATGAATGCGTGCCCCGCTCTCCCACTGTAGCTCAGCAGTGAGCATGTCTCCTCTTAGAAAACACAGTAAAATGAAGAGTTGTTTGAAAAATAATTGTTAAAGTAGTAAAAGAACAGTTTATTCTTTTTTTTTATAGTTTATTTTATTATTATTATTTTTTAATTTTTTATTGTTGGCTGTTCAAAACATTACATAGTTCTTGATATATCATATTTCACAATTTGATTCAAGTGGGTTATGAGCTCCCATTTTTACCCCATATACAGATTGCAGAATCACATCAGTTACACATCCATTGATTTACGTATTGCCATACTAGTGTCTGTTGTATTCTGCTGCCTTTCCTATCCTCTACTATCCCCCCTCCCCTCCCCTCCCCTCCCCTCTTCTCTCTCTGCCCCCTCTACTGTCATTCGTTTGTCCCCCTTGTATTATTTTTCCCCTTCCCCTCACTTCCTCTTGTATGTACTTTTGAATAACTCTGAGGGTCTCCTTCCATTTCCATGCATTTTCCCTTCTCTCTCCCTTTCCTCTTCTTTACTTACATTTAGTTTAACACAAAGTTCATTTACCTTAGTTTATTCCTGTAGCAATTCAGCAACCACCAGCCACACTGCATTATGGATATGCATGTATTTATGTGTATGTATGTGTGTGCATGTATATACATGTGCACTACTGCATATTTACATTACATAAATAATATACACATACATATATGGATAGAGGTGAAATGACTTGTGAGTAATAAGTGATACTTGGCAGTTTTTTGTTATAATTTAAAAAAAAAAATAACCCTTACATACATATTTGAGGGATTGTTTGACTTTTCAGAATGGTGGCAACCCCAGATTAGAGCAGAACACACATACACACTTGTTCTCCAGTTTGGTAGAATCAGCATGACTGATGGAGAATTCTGTGAGGGCTTGGGAACTTCCCCTGTCAGCAAGAACCCTGAAGTTGCTTGAGCCAGGAGTAGTGGTGTTTGCTTGGGCTGCGACTACTTAAACAAAATGAATGTTTGAGCAGGATGAAGCCCCAGGGACCCTCTAGTTTGGCTCTTGTCAAGTTAGGAATCTGAGGTCTAGAAAGATGAAGCAAATCCCCTAAAATTATTGTCAGAGGTTGAAGTAGATCCCTGGTCTCCCTGAATCCCAGTTCATACACATCTCAGAGTATTTTTATCCTTGATATGTGGATTACAAT